TTTTTCTTATATTCCTTGAATAATGCAACATCTAAACATTTACATTGTACTAGGTAGAAGTAATCTAAAGATTATTTAATGTACCTGGGAGGTAGAAGTTATCTGAGATCATGTCAAGTATATGGGTAGGAGGATGTGCACAGATCATATATATGCCAATACTTCACCGTTTCATATGACTTGAACATCCACAGATTTGGGTGTCCACTGGGGATCTTGGAACCAATCCCTAGACCATTGTAAAGCTCTGGCATTGTGAAAGCTTGTGGTATATACCACTGGGTCTTGACCCCTTTCTATTCTCAAATGGTAAATTATACCTTCTCATTTATATTGTTATCTTGCTGATACATAAAACTGGGATCATGTGTCTCCTGAGTTTCTTCTGTTTTCTTAAATTCAGTTTTCTTGGTTGCCCTGTGTGGTTCTAAAACCAAAAATACTTATTCTGTTTCTTGGTTTCATTTCTTCATAATGCTTCTCTTGTGAGTTGTATGAATAGCTAGAATTATAGACCAAAATCCAGTCTTAGCCCAAATAGCTAAGTTAGATATGTACCTATTGCTGAGAAGCCCATTTATATTTCTTTATAGTAGGCAAGGAAAGAAGTCATTGGCTGGGGGACAACAAGCAAGTTCTAAGTATCTATAGTTATTTTAAGTGTGGTTCTCACTTCTGTGAGGTCTTTCTTTATGTGCTTATTTTCCCTATATTTGATCTTATAATGACAAAGTAAGGAATATTGGTGGGCAATTCTTTACCACATGGATTATAAACATATAGGACTTAAAACCTTAGTGGTGATAAAGAAAGTCAAGAAGAATTTATCAAAATTCATAGATAAAAATTCATAGACACTAGGTCTATACTAGGTTGTTAAGGGAAAATCAGATGTTCCTTTCACCCAAACTTCTAGAAAGAATAGTCTATATGCTAAGAACACAAAGGAGAGAGGAGAAAACTTGGGGGGAAGTTCCTGTAACTTCCATGCTTCACAGGTACACTATTCCTATCTTTATTATAGAACACTGCATTCTAATTCGATCATACAGTTTATAGTCACGCTTCCTTGAACAATATGTGAGCTCTTCAAGACAAATATCCTCTTTGGTTTTGCATCCTCAGCACCTAAACCAGTATATGGCACTGAGGAGGCATTCAATAAAATTATTTAAATGTTGAATGAATACTATCTATCTCCATGGTTTCACCATCTACTCACTGTGGAGCTCCTACATTCTGGCTCTTAGTTACATTATAATATTGAAGTGACATTCTTTACAAAGGAATTAGAAAGCTCCCAAGTAGAAATCACTGGGGTTTATCCTTTTTGACTCCACTATATAATATGTCATTGTTGAAAATGCCTACCCTTTCTGCCTTCTGAACACTTTTGTCTTTCTTTGCTTCTAGTACAATGTCTAGATTCTCCTCCTAACTGTCCAACTGGCTTTTGTCAATTTTCTTCTTTGCTTTTAGCTCCTAAATGGAAGAATTTTCAAGGTCCTATCTTTGACTCTCTTGTCTTGTTAATAATCCCTCCAATAATCTCTTTCATTTCACAATGTATAATCAGAATGCTTAAGTACCCAACCATTTCCTTATGAAATCTATACCCATATTTCTAAGAACCTTCTGTAAATCTTGATTTTGATGCTCTGCTACCACTTTCCAGTTTAATTTGTCCCCAAATGAATTTATCTTCTACTACCACCACTCCTTTTCCTGATCTTAACTGTTTAGTAACCTACTTGTCCTCCTAGTCAACTGAACTCAAAACCCTAGAGTTATCTTTGACTTTTAGATATTCTTCTCTCTCTACGTTATCTCCCTTAACAATGTGTCTGTAGATTCCTACTTCATTTCTTACACACATATAGCTTAAATGTCATAATGCACAACTTTGAACATCTTCCTATGGCTGAAAAACCTCCATTAGATTCCTTTGCCTAAAGAAATACATGCTACACCTAGTGTCTCATTTCAGTATTCAATGATGTGGCGCCAGCTTCCACTGTTGAAATCTCTATTCATCCTGCAAAACCTTTTCTTCCATGATTATTTTTCTGATATACTCAATAAAGCTTGTTATCTTCCTTCTTTGAACTTACATAGTATGTTATTAACACCTTTTGCTTTCTTTTATCTTCTGCCTTATTTTATAGTCTTTCTGTACTTTTTATCTTTCTTACTAGACACAAGGGTTTTATAACTAAGGAAATCTTATCTTTATTATTTCTGCATCTTCCATCACATCTAGCATAGTTCCCTTAACAAGAACTATGCTCTTAACAGAAACAGCACACTCAGCTGAATGGGAAGTAGACAATATTTTGGAGCTCTTTCTAACTTATCTAATGTCACGGTCTTGGGGAGGGGGAAAGGCCCAGTGTAGAAGATTTGTTAAAATTCAGGCAAGTAATCATATCATTGTTTAATATATTGATTTGCTAATAAAAAATACAGACTATTACCTCATTTTGTTTAAATCCACAATTGGAAACATTCCAATTAGAAACACAATGGTTGAGCTGTGTAAATATAGTAATTTCCATCTGTAACTGATAATAATGGAAATGGCAAGCAGAACAGAGTACATCCTTGCTGTTTTTGCTAGACTCTGATGTGAAACTTTTTGGTCTATTTTTTTTGTATTTTACTTCCCTTGGGGAAAATTCCATTCTTCATATTTTTGCTTTTCTGCTTTTATCTCATCATGTTGAAATGGAAGTTATTAGAAAGGAACAAGGATTCTTGTGTTGAGCAGGGGAAGGGTAACAATTCCAAATCCAATGGGAACTTGGAAAGGAATCAAATAAGGTAACTAAGAAAGCAAAAACAACAGGGGACCTTCATGAAAAGATGACTTAGCTAGGAAAGGTCAAGATGAAGAGGAAATCTCTAAAAGTCCCTGGCTCTGCCACTTCTATAAAAGAGGCAAGCAGACAGAAGAGGTTTTGAAGACTTATAAACTCTGTGCCTTCCCCTCCCCTTCTCTTGCTTCCTGTTCTACTGATGTCCAAGATGTTTACTAACTGTTGCCACTGCCTGTCTGCTGGTTTCTTTTTGCCTCTGCATATTTGCTGTGGCTGTTGCCAATCCGAATGACTGCTGTATTTAAATGCACCATTTTTGACCCTATGTGTTAATTGGGGCACTCTAGCTACAAACCAAAAATAACAATTTAGATGACTTGGAATTAGTACTATAAAATTATACAGTTTGTGAATGTATTCTTGGTGTTTCACAGTTGATGACACTGCATTCCCCAGAGTATCAGGCTCAGAAAACCCCCAAGGATTGATCTCTCTCCAGTACAGCTTTTCTAGAATCAGTATGAGGTGTGAGACTTATCAGGAAGGGGCCTTAACAAATGTGTAGTTTTAAAATAAGCAGACTAGAAAGATTACAGCAATCCTTTTATGGCCCAGAATAACATGCTTTTACTTATTGATACAAAAATCACTATTTCAATTCAGCTTTCACTGACTATTATTGTTCTGATAGTTCAACAAAGAGCAGTGAAGGTTTTTATTGTCCTTAAGAGGTGGAAGGTATTCTGATACCATGGTAGAATATTCTCACTTTTTAAAGACTGAGGATAGGTGGCATGGTTGCCTCATAGTTGTAGAGTAGTAGTGCTCTAGCATTCTGCCAGGCAAGTATACCTTAAAAATTTTATTATAAACATAAAAATACAGATTTCCATTTTCTTCTCTCCAATCTTTGACTCTTTTTTGGCTACTTTCAATTTCTACTTTTTATAAGCAGTCTTGTGTTCTATCCAAAACACTTCTCTCCTCTACATGAAATCTTATCTTTAGGCTAATCTCGACAGAGCATCCATGAAGGGAAGAGATGGAGTGTTATCTATTATCCCTCAGGATTCACCCAAATGTGAAAAAGATTTATATAACTTAAATTTGCTTCCATCATGAACTTCACCATTGCCAAAAGCTTTCCTGAACAACTGCACTGGGTTCTACTTCTCTCACTAGTTTGTTCAATTACAATGGTCTTGGAAGCTATGAATTTCCATTCTTATAACATAATAACTGCTGGATCAAAGAAAACTTTCTGAAGTATGGGCTATCCAAGTCAAATATTGCTAATTTAAATTAAGTAGTTTACATATTTACTATTATTTTTTTCATTTATTTCTCCAATATAGTGTCACAGCCCATGAAGAAGACTTTTAAAATCAACAGACCTAATTTCCTCCTCTACTTTAAGAAAGAAATGCACTGAAAACATAAAACCTCATGGTGGAGGTGGACAGTTAGGACTACTTGGATTTTCCTGAGAGGAACTATTATTTACTCAGCCATAAGGTATGAATAGATAAGGAGGCCAACTTTCTAGTTGAACTTGAGTGAGAGAAGTTTTATTTTGCATCTTTTATGTTCTTCCCCCCTCAGACCAATTTTCACAGTTCACCTTTATTTGTTATCAATCAATTACACCCATAAAAAATTGTTTCAGTGCTTTGTGATTTTTTGAGGGTCTTGAATTATCTGTGACTCTTCTTCCTTTATTAACATGGATAACAGACTATTATTTATATTACTGTACTACAAAAGCAAAATGGACTTTAGAAACGGGCACTGTCTCAGTTTCCTTACCTGTGAATAGCTAATGTGACATCCTTGGGGCCAATTATTTTTTTATGATTTAATTACACTCATGGTTTTAAACCACCTTCCACCCAAACCACATGTTCATAAAAGAACAATTAAATATTTAATATTAAACACAGTGGGAGTCCTTATATTTGATATATTTGCAAAGTGTACAGTTATTTGAAGATACATTTAGTGAGCTGAAATTTGCAATCATGTAGATGTAGACGCCTGCTGAGATTTCACACATGAAATGAGATCAACTGTTTAAAAAAGCCTGTATGGGAAAATTTCATTATTTTTCTTTTTTTGGAAGGCATGGGGTACTTGGCTCTGAACATTCAGATTTGATAAGACCATGTGAACTAGAGTAGATATTACCTGGATTCCTTGGAATCCGCTTTCTGCGGTCTCGGAATGCTGCACCTGATTGTAGGGCTTCTAGAAGATTATCCATCACACCAGTCTCATCACCCTCTGGAGGAAGGAAGAAATCGGAATTAATCTTGAAGCAATTAAAGTTAAACTACAGGAAAATAAAGGGAAAAACTCCTGTCAGATTTACATAATACCCCTAAATTAAAGACATATATCTGTTTTAACATAATGGATCCTGTCAGTTTCTGGCACCACAGACTACTTTGCTTATTACGCACCATTAAGCAAAATTCATGCCAATCCCACTGTTCTTTCAACTTAAAGACCTTGTCTTTTGTATTATTGATGACACGCTCAGTATGCAAATAAACAGTAGCTTATCAGCTACTGCTGCCTTCCTGTTAAGATTCTTATAAGATATTCCTAAGCAAGAAACCACTGACCCGGCTTAATGCAATCAATGTGCAGGGCACAATTTGATGAAGCGGAGTTACACAAGGTTAAATACTGATTGTATTAATACCTTCAGCATTCAACCATCATCTGTGATTATCTCAAAAGACACTATTTGCAAAACACATTTGCATTCAATTCCTACCTAATCCATATCCTATACTCATTTTGAAATGCTGACATTGTATAAAGAAAAGGTGATCACATTATCTGAAAGGCCACATTCTACATTTGAGAGACATCAGCCAAAGTCTCATTTCCTTTTCAAAATGTTGTCCTGTGCTTAAACTCTTCCTCTGGGAAAAAAACTGTTAAGAAGCCATAAGTGGAATACTCAAAAGATGTTCATAGAAATCCCTAACAGTAACAACATTTAAAACATTTTGTCTTACTCTTATCTTTAACAACTGTGGTAATCAAACACACTTTTAAGATTTGTTAGAGCATTTTTCTCAAGGTGTCAATTACCAAAAACTCTATTAAGCTGTGGGAAATCCGCAGGGAACTGAGCATTCTCATCCCAAATGGCCTAACTGATGGAAATGAATTTAACTAGGGGGCTACTTTGAGCAGTAGCTAAATATGTGTGTCTTGGGTAGAAGATACTTTAGGCAGGATGGCTAAGAGGAGAAGGGAGGTGTGAGGGAGAAGACATTGTTTCTGATGTTACTCCAAAATTAAATCAAAATCCTTCTTTGGGGTATCAGATTAACTAAGGGGCATCAAATTAACTATGGGGTATCAGATCATAGAAAAAAAATCTCCTATGGGACAAGAGCAAGCTAAAATCATTTGACTTGAAACTTCTTCAATGTTATAATAATTTATTCTATTAAAATAAATTATCTAGAACAGGATATTAAATACAAAACACGGGGAAACACAGAGGTTCTCAGGTCCTACATTTGGTGAAAATAGGACAAGGCAAGTAGAGCCCCGATGACTAAATAGGAAAAGAGAATTTATTGTGTACTTTTAATATTTAGTAAGGTCTCAGACACATGTGAACCATTTTCAATAGAAAGAAAAGAAGAATTGAAAGAAGGTGGACAGGCTAGAATGCACCAGGGAGAATTAAATTTTATGAAGTAGATACTTTATATTTGTTATATCTTTAATTTAGAGATACTGAAATGCAGATTTCACATGGCTGGTGTACAAAGGTGCCCAGGTGTGAACCCAGATCTATCAGGGAATAAGACTAACTGCCCATCTTTTTTTTTTTTTTTTTTGCAGTCCTGGGGATTAAACCCAGGGCCTCAAGCATGCTAAGCAAGTGTTCCACAACTGAATTACAGCCCTGGACCCGAGAAAGCCCGCTCCGCACAATAGCTAGCATAAATTGAAATGGAAAAAGCATATGTTAGCCAGATCATAATTCTATGATACAGGATTTGATCACTACCCTAACGTCAGTACTATCTAATTGGTATATAATGAAGATCACAAATGCAAGCCATATCATTTTGCATATTCTGGCAGTCATATTAAAAAATTAAAAACCCTACAAAATTCATTTCAATATATTAAGTAAATAGTGAAATAAATATCTACAAAAATTAGTGATATATTTTACATTCCTTTTATCAGATTAACTCTTAGAATTGTAGGTGTCCTTTGACATACCTCAATTCATATTAGCTGAATTTCAGGTGCTCATTAAATGCATGTAGCTCATGCTTACAGTACTGTACAGCACAGATAAAAATAATACAAAGTGAACTGATCAGATTTATATTTTAGAAAGACTTGCTGGGTAGCATTATAAAGGATAATAATATCTCCAATAGAAGACAGAGGAAGTTTCAGGAGCAAAGCATAATCATCTAAATAAAACATAAAGTCCTGAAGTAATAAGAAACCAGAGAGAAAAGACAGATATTTTGAAATTATTATTATGGTAAGTAGGATTTTGCTGGGGAGAGGACAGATTGAGGAGGAGGGAAAGGATTCTAAATGACCAGGGATAAACGGTTTGAGAAAAGGTGATGACCTACTAGAAATTCCTAAGTAATAGCTATATAGGGATAACCAGCAGGAACCTGAATATATGGGTGTACAACCGAGAAATGAAATGTGGGTTGGAACTAAAGATTTCTGTGTCATCTGAAGATGGATGAGATTACCCTGACATAGTGTATCAAAAGGAGAGTGGGAGGCAGAAAATGCAATTCTGGAGGACCTCAAATTTTTAAACTTCTTGAAAACTTTTTAAGTGACAAGTAAAAAGTATATGTATTTCTGGTATATAACATGATGTTTGAGTAAATGTATATGCCAGGACATGGCTAAATAAAACTATTTAACATGTATTACCTCATAATTATTTTGTGGTAAAACACTTAAAATCTACTTTCTTAGCAATTTTAAAGTATATAGTATGTGACTATTAACTGTAGCCATCATGATGCACAATAGACCTCTTGTATTTATTCCTCCTGTCTAAATGAAATTAATGTCATCTGACCAACGTTGCTGCTTGAAACTTCACACATGGCCTAGGACCACAAATTTTAATAGGCAGTAAGGAAAAGCAGAACTACAAAGAAGGGGAAGAAATTTTCAGAAATATACAAGTATAAACAAGAGAAAAGAGCAGCGTAAGTGAATTTCATGTAGCCTTGTAAAAGTGGCAATTATAAAGATTACATAAAAATGAATATATGTAAATAAGTGGATAAAAAATTCAAAGCAGTATATATTTATGGTTTACAAGAAATAAATGCAAACATAAAATACTTTATAACATACGGACATTATGGATATTGTTTTCTTAAAGTTCTTTAATGGGATTATATTGTGATTAGACTAAAAAGTAGGAAATAAAAAAATATGACAGAGAGAAAATTTAAAAATAAATCCCTTTGCTCAACTTAGTGGGTGCCACCTGACAACACTTAGTAAAACACTTCTAGGCTATCATCCTTTTCTTCATTATCATAGCCCCTCCCCATCCCGGAGCCTTTTTAGACATCTGTTTTCCTAATGAACCCTACAGTCAAAATTTAATGTCACAGATGTATTGTATATCTGTTGCTGTACTGTGACCCTTTGAAGGACCCCCAAACCTTTGCAATAACTAAGATTTTTTTCTATCTATCTTCCCAAGAACCAACATTCATCCCCTTGGGGTTTCTAGTGCCCCTGCCAAATATACATGTTAGGTGGTTCTGCTAAAAAACAAACAAAAAACTGTTTGTAAATATCACATATGTATTATACAAAATAACTATGAGCATATTCAAGGAAAGAAATGTGGGTATCAGTTCATTAATTTTTCCTTTGCTCCATTCATAAGTTTTGAAAAAGCTGAGTGACTTTCATGAAATATTGAACTCTACTGAATCAAATTTTGTGAATACAATCATAGGATTGCTTTATATTTTAGTGAATCTCCCTAAAACAAAATGGAAGCCAACATGATCATTTGAAGATTGAAATTAATTTTGAATGAATTTCAGTGAAATTTGATCTATGATCAAATTGTGTTTTGACAATTTGATTGGTTTACTTAGAATTTCCAGTTTAATAGAATCATGAACATTTACTTACATGTGACTAGCTTTGTTTGGTCTATAAGTTTAAGATTAAAAAAATAGTTTTAAGTGTTTTTTATCATTTAAAATAAAATAAATTTATAATTTTATCAAACACATATGGAATGATGTACCTTCTTACAACTTATAATACATATTATACTGAGTGAAAGAATATCAAGGAAAAAATTGGTGATGCTTTTCAGCCACTAAAATGATTAATACATGGGCATGGCTGAGAAGTAATGATTCAGAGGCCACTTCATAAGCTTTCATTCCCAAATTAGTTCCAGAGCTCTGTGTGAGCTGCTTATCACTGGATAAAATGAAAGGCATGGGTTTAACCTTCTTTTTCATGTTTCCCACAGTATTTATCATTCAGTAGATGTTGAATGCCTCCTGATCTCAATTTAAAGTGTCAACATTTACCTATGTTTGCTGACTTAATTTCCCCAAAAGAGTTTGGAGAGGCTGCAGATTAAAAATAGAACCTGATAATTATCTCTCTTATACTTTTGTGCAAGACTACTTCCTGATGGCTAGCACATACTTACGTAGGGACAATTTTCTGTGGATTTTTCACATTTCTATACATTTTACAAACATTGACACAAACCCACTGTGTTCAGCATCCACCTAGTCACAACTTTACACCATCCTATGGGAATTGGAAGACAATAAAAAGCAATACAAACATGAAGCTCATTCTGCTTGCTACACCATGAGTAACAATGGAATTCTATGTCTCTGACCCAGGAGTCTTGTGTCCTAGGTCAACATCCATTAAACGGAGGCAGGCTAACTTGTTAGCATGTAAAATATCTGAACACTTCAGTGTTTGAAACTATACTTCCTTTTAATCAAATATTATTAATTAGAATAACACTTATTATTCTAGAGACTTAAGTGCCTTCCTTTACCAAAAACCCCACTCCATATCACTAGACTTTGAAAACTACTAAACTAAAGCCAATACAGGTCAAGTATCCTTTTTTTATCTGAAATGCTTTGAAGCAGAAGTTTATCAGATTTCAGAGTTCATCTAGTTTTAGAGTATTTGCCCTGATCTTTACCAGTTGAGCATCTCTAATTAAAAACTCAAAAATTTTT